GATTAATTGACAAATATGTTTATTTTCTTTTGCTCCTCATTCCGGGGACCTTCTACAATTTGGATCGAACAACGATCAAGATTTGGACTTGTCTCCGTTTCTCGGTAGGGCTCCGACCATGTGTGAGGACCATGTTTCACTTGTTTGTATGTTGAACTTAGAAGTGGGTTGAACTTTGTGGACTTTGGACATGTTGATGGTGTTTGTGGACTTTGCATTGTGCGTGTGACATTTGTTGTAGCTATATGTTGGTTATAATGAGTGGATGTGACATTTGTGGACATATATGTGATATATAATGTCTATCTGTTGGTAATCGTGATATTCTGTTATAATTGTTGTTAATTGTGGCTGGATATGCACTGAAACAAACAAAAAAAAATACTGTGGACAAGTTTTACCGAGTGTTACACTCGGTAATGGTCATGTTTACCGAGTGCTACACTCGGTAAAACAGAGAACAGAACCAAATTGGTTACGATTACATTAATTTTGCCGAGTGGTGCCATTTTTTACCCGAGTGCCACGACCCCCACTCGGATATATGTGCCATTTTTTACCGAGTGGAACACTTTCGGTTAACGAAAGTTACATGTTTACCGAAAGTGTTACTTGGTACACTCGGTAAACTATATTAGGGAAAAATATTTGCGGAATTGTTTTAATCATGAAAATGGTTATATGTTTACCGAGTGCTAAGTCTAACACTCGGTAAACGACGACGCCGTTAGATCTTGGCGAGATTGGGGACTGACGACCGTCACGTCGTAGTTGTTTACCGAAAGGCTTGCGTAGCACTCGGTAAGATTTATTCTCCGAAAGTGCCCGTTTGTTTGTTGACACTCGGTAAACTAACTTTACCGAGTCGTTGTTTACCGAAGTCATGTTTATCGAGTGTGGCACTTTCGGTAAACAATTTACCGAGTGTTTATCCATATTTGCCGAGTGTTTATCACACTCGGTAATTAATCAGTATCCCGTAGTGAGTCCGATTTCTCTCTGAGTCTGTTTACTCCACAATCGTATGTTTTATGTAGTTTCAACACATGAATTTTTTTACACCATAGAACTAAGATCCAACAGTCTTCACCCTTTTTCTACCTTCAGCCTCCACAGATGACAGATCATAATTTTTTTTTATGAAAGGACAAATCACAGATCCATCGCCGCCGCTACCACCACCGCCACTGTCATGGCCGGCGCGGGCGCGGGGAGACGAGCCGGGGCGAGCTTGCCGTTGTTCCCGCAGAGCCAGCCCAGCTGCGCCTCGTCCAGCTGCGGCGGTGCGGCCGTGGCCGGCGCGAAGAGATCCGCGTACAGCTGCGGGGGCACCGCTGGCGCACCGGGCAGCAGGATACCACCACTAGCACCAATGTGGCCCGCCAACCGCCATGGACGGCAGCGCGTCCCCGCCCCACAGCGAGAGGCCGCCGACATGCGGACCGAGCGGCAGGGCAGCAGGCTTGAGGTGCGCGGCCGGGGCCGGTGGCAGCATCATGTTGGGGCGCACGGCGGGCAGACCCGCCGGCGAGCCCACGCATAGGTACGACGTGGCGGCGCTGGAGGCGGCGTTGAGCCTGGCCGTCTCCTCGGCCAGGGCGTCGCAGAAGGCGCGGTGCGTGATGAAGCTGTCCCTCCTGTTGGTACGTACAGACGTGGTCACTGGTCAGTCGGCAAGCAGCCGCAACGCAACGCGACGATGCATGGATTATGGACAAGCAAGCAGAATTTTTTTTTTTTTGCTAAAACCCATATGTGTTGTATAGTATTTCGGTTCACTTTTACTTTCCGTTTACAGCAGTCTGCGCGTACTATTCATGCTCTGATGAACGATGATGACGCTGGACCTGGACGAACGAAGAAGCTTCCGGGCGGCTGCAACGCGGACTCGCAGAGTGCCGTTACGATCGAGCACCGCATCGGCTTTATCCTGCAGCGGCACTACATGCACCGAGCAAGCACGTTTTTTTATTTTGAAATTTGGGAACAATTTGACATATTTGACATGTATTTATTTGATATTTGCGATTCATAAAAATAATTTATAAGTTTAGCTTATATTTATCTAAGATTTGTAATTATTCTCAAATTACATCACTCTATCTAATAAATTACATTGAAGAAATCAGTGTAAATATAGTAATAAGACGGTGTAAATATAGCTATAAGACAGTGTAAGTGTATGTACAAAAATCTAGTTGTTGGAAGGGGCCGAAACAACCCGTTGTTAGGTAGACGGACTCTTTTTTTCTAGTTATTAATAAATCGTCGGAAAAATAACTACGCTGTAATTTCCGTATGACTCACACTTTACAACAGTCCTATAAAAAAGTATAACCATAAATAAAAGGTAAAAGTATATTAATTTAATTAATGAGTAAATTTAACAGGCATTTTTAACCTTTTCCCGGTATTTGAAAATTAAACACGCAGCTCTCTAAATTTGTCACTACCTCTCGTCCCTATTCACAGGCGTTCTTGAACCCTTATTCGAGTTCTTAATCTAGTCCCCGTATTTAAAAACTACACACTTAGCTCTCTAAATTTATCCTTAATTCTCATCCCTAACTTATAAATTATATACTCTGCTCCCTAAACTTGTTTTAAGTTTTCATTCTTAACACTTGCAATTAACTCTCTAAATTAACTTGTATTATTATACCATCATAGTCCACCCCTCCCCCTCTATATTTTGTCATCCTCGTCCCTTCACGTCGCACGTGCCCGGCCTGGCTCACCTAGGTGGCCACACCACTGTCGTGCGTCTACCTTGTATATATTTGGTCAAACTTTAAAAAATTTGACTTATCAGAAATTGAGATGTGCATTTATTTTGATTTTTGAAACGGAGGGAGTACAAGAAACTTATCGCACTACAGACTGTGGAGCTGGCGGCCATTTTGAGCACCACAGCTGCGGTGTGGCTCGCAGTAGGAGCGAAAACTCGGGTTGTGCAAGCGTTCGACCAGGGTGGTGCCAAATCGAGCGCCGACGACCCAAAATTTTTCTTCCTATCATATGCGCGCTCTGCCGAATTGGGCCGACCAGCGACCACCGCCGAAGCTTGCTGCCTCGACCGCACGCTTCTAGCCCAGCTCACGTTCCCGCCCGCGCGCTTCATGCCTAGCTCGGCTTCCTACCCGCGCACACGCGCTTCCGGCCCAGCTCGGCTTCCCGCGACGAGGCGTGCTCCCGCTACAGGATGATGGAAGCACGTAAATGCATATAAAAGAGAAATAAAAGCAAAAATAGTCCATGACAGGATTCAAACACAAGCCTTATTGATTCAAAGATGTTACTCTTCACCGGTGCATCATATAAATGTTGGTGATAGTTGTGAAAGAGTTTTGTTATTAAATACATCTGACCATTTAAAGTCCAATAAAAAATTATATAACCATCACAAGAATAATACTCTATACTAAAATATATCATAGGAAATTACATGAAATATGGAAAATAGCTAAGTAACGGGAAAAACAAACCAGAAAAAAAGAAGAAGACAAAGGAAAAAAAAACTCATGTAACAGTATAAATGAAATAAAATGGAAAAATGAAAAAATGAAACAAAAAAGTAATAATCATCAAAAGTAAATAAGTAGAAGGAAAATATAATACAAAACATCACATAAAAAGAGCATAATAAAAAACACACAGGACATCACATAGATACCACTAGAAGTCTAGAACAAACCTAAAATATACCACAAAACATCTTACAGGTATTATGTGAATACTCCAAGATAATCATAGAATATTTCATTTATAAAACATGAACATTAGAGAATATCACATATATATTACATAAACATTCCACAATAAAATAAAGAATAACATTAATAGAAAAATTTAGTAAAAGATTAAAAAATCATAAGGACAAAGGAAAATCCATGCAATATAGAAAAATTTAAAAGAATATCACTTGGATACTATTTAAATAATCTAAAATATACCATAGAACATCTCATGGGCACCAAAGATAATCATGGAAAATCTCATTTATACTACATGATCATCCTAAAATACGTCATAGAACATCACATGTATATATACATCATAGAACATCTCGTATATACTATGTGAACATCACAAAATACATAATAGAACATTATATGTATACTACGTGGACATCACATGTATACTACGTGAATATCATAAAGTACATCATATAACATCACATGTGCATATTACATGAGCATGACAAAATAAATCAAAGAACATCACAAATATATCATATAACGTGATATGTGTACTATTTGAACATCACATGTATCTAAAAATAAAAAGACTAAAAGATAAAATTATTAAAGTAATTAATTAGAGTAAAATAACAAAAACATAAAAAAATAAATAACAAATGCTAAATATATAGAAAAATAAATAAATAACTTAAATAAGAAAAAAAATTAAAAAATCACATGTATACGACGCAAACATGACATGTATCTCATGTAAACATATGAAATAAAAAAAAATAGAAAATAAAAAACTAAAGCATGAAAATGATTAAAATAAAAAATAGAGTAAAATAAAAATATAAAATGAAAACCAAAATAAAAAATCTACATGAATGAACCATAAAAAAAGAAAAGAGAAGTAAATAGAAGAAAAGAAAGAAAAATAAAAAAAATATGAAAATAGAAAATGAAATAAAAATTAATTAATTAGAGCAAAAGAAAAATGAATAAATAAATATAAAAATATAAAAAAAGAGAAAAGATGAATAAAAGGCCACAAAATAAAATAAAAATAGAAATAAAAAAGAAATCAATGAATGAATGAAAGAAAAAACGCACAACGAAAATAAAAGCAAAATACAAAATAAAAATAAGAATAAAACAACACAGAGAAAAGGAAAAGAAAAAGGAAAAAAAAGATAAAGAAAAAAGAAAAGGAAAGAAAACAGAGAAACTCACCTACAAGAACCACCTACGGCGCGGATCGAATTAAGTTGCTTAGGCGTCAATGAAAAAAAAGAGCAACTTATCGCTCGGGCGGCAATGGCGTGGCCTGGGCCATCACTCGCTCTCATGGGCTGCCATCGCGTGAGTGGGGGTGGTCGGCGGACGCCTCGGGTCCGACTGGACGGACCTAAAGATTCATGAAAAACTCGGCACAACACCCTTGGCTCCCAGCCTTCACGGGCCCGTTCGCTTCGCTGAAAAAATAAGACGAAACACTATTTTGGCTGATTTGTTGTGAGAGAAAAATACTGTTCCGGCTAAAAAAATAAGCTGAAAAAAACGAATTATAAGAGAAGCGAACAGGTCCTATATTAAGATGGCAACGGGCAAAAAAAACCCGTGTACCCGCGGGCACCCGACCCGGCGGGCGCGGATACGGGCATGAATCTGTGCCCGCGGGCACGGGCACGGGCACAGGTTGCTGCCTGTGGCGAGTGGCGGGCGCGGGTGCGGGCATGAGATTTTTCTCGTGGACGCGGGTGTGCGAAGCCACTATCCGCGCAGATATTACTAAAGATGGCAACGGGTAGAAAAAACCAGCGTATCCGCGGGCACCCGACCCGACGGGCGCGGATACGGGCATGAATCTGTGCCCGCTGGCACGGGCACGGACACAGGTTGCTGCCCGTGGCGGGTGGCGGGCGCGGGTGCGGGCATGAGATTTTTCTCGCGGGCGCGGGCGCGGACGTGCGAAGCCACTATCCTCGCGGATATTACCCGTTGCCATCTTGAATCCTATAGTCCGTTGTGTTTCTCAAGAGCAAAATTGGCTGAGACACTATTGGAAAGTGGCTTTTGCTGTAGACCATAAAAAATATTTAGCTTTGCCGAAAGACACTGCAAATAGATGTAAATTTGGTAGGAGACACTATCTCTATTATTATATTCTATTTTAATCCAAAGCCACGGGAAATGACAATTCTACCCTTACCCCTTTAATCCTTAAGTTAATAATACAGCCGGGCTACTGTCCCAGTTCGCCAGCGGGTTCACCCCGCTGAAGCCGAAGCCGCTGGGATCCATCCTGGACATCGAACGCGCCAAGGGTCTCTCCCCCGAGCACCTCGTCGCCGCCTGGGATGACGTCAGTCCCCGCCCCCTCACTAGTCATTTCATTATTTCATTCCTTTTTTGTGTGTTTTATATATAAGAACTGAGGAGATCCCGCTTGGTACTTATTTTAAGCACTGTGCCTGAAACGAATTTTATGTGTGAGGGTATGTGAATGATCTGTTAAAAGGAAGCGATGAAAGGATATAAACATTCATTCAAATATGCAGACCTTTTCAATTGCAAATGACTTTCTAAGATGTTTGATAATGTGCAAGTTTAGGAAACACTTCCTTGTCCTAATGAAACAAGCCCCCGCGTCGCTCCACCTCTGGGGGCGACTCGGGTGGCCGTCCAGACTACCGCGCCGCCGCTCCCCACCCTCTGCCCCTGGCTTCACCGCTGCCCGAGCAGGTCGCCGGGAGGCCCGCACGACTGCGAGGAAGGCGGCGGCGGGGCCTTTCCCTGTTGCTCTCGGCGGCATCTCGAGGAGCTTCGAGAATCGAGTGACGACGGCAGTGTCGTCATTCGGCGGCAGCGGAGCTCCATGGGAGTCCAGATCCAGGGCCTTCGTGAGTGGATCCGGCGCCCCCGTGTGTGGATCTGCGTCCCCCGGCCGGGGCTTCCTCTGCTGCTCCATCGGTAGCGCGGCGCGAGGTGGCGGCTGGCCGAGGAGCAGGGCACCGCACGACAGCCGGGCGGCGCTGCGGCTTGGGCGGCGAGTGCCCAGGCGCCCAGATCTACGTCCCGGTGGCTGGCTCCATGCTGGGGTAGCAACTGCGGCGGCGCGATGGCGGTGGCTCTGGCCAGGGGCATCGGGGACGGTGTCCTAGCGGAGCCCGTGGTGGTGGGGCATGCGCCTCGTTGCAGCCGGAGTAGACCGACAGCGACGACGACGGGTGCCAGAGCCGGCAGCAGCGGCCTGCAGTGACCTCGACGCGCGGCGGTATTGCGTGCCCTGCCGGCTGGTTGCCGGGGGCATGGTGGCTGGCAACGGAGGCGGCTAGCGCAGCGAGTATGGGACTTGGCCACTGCCGCGCACGGGGTTGAGGTGCCATGGCGAAAGCCGTGTCCCTTGGACCGATGACGGCGACGCCTTTGGGCGTTGTATTCTTCCTTGGAAGCGTCCATCGATCGGCTCTCTCCCCCTTGCGCGGCGTGCTCTTCCTAGGTGTAATGCCTTGACTTTCTGGTCAGGCGACGATGGTGTCGTGTCCCTCCTTGGGAGGCATTGCTTTGGAAGCCCATGACTGTTAGTATGTCATGGCCGCCACCGTTGTGGCGAGGAAGGTGGAGGCCTAGCTGAGGATTCAAGTTTCCGGTGTCCACTGCGGCTGAAGGTGGTCGGGAGGAGGGTGTTGGCGCGGTGATTGGAGGGCTTCGCTTTTGTTTGGCGGATGGTGAGTTGCGACCACGAAGTTGGCGAGGAGACCGGCGTGGGAGGTGCCCACGGAGTTAGCAAGTAGGCCGACGTGGGAGGAGGTGGCCAGCAGCTTGCGTTGCTGAGGTGACCTGTGTGGTGTGGCAGCGCAAGCGGATCTGATTGCCGGAGGGCTACACGGCTCGCAGCGACCTACGGCAGCTAGTCCGGCTTGGCAGCAGGCTAGCTCGGTGTGGATCATCGTCGGTAACGACGGCGCGAGCGGTGACGACGGCGTTTTCGCCATAACATCCTTGACGTCCTGGGCTTGGCGGTGCAGTGTGGTGGTTTGGCGTTGGTGGTGGTTCTTTTTTCTCTTCTTTTTTCTGAGTTGAGCTTCGGCTGTGTGCGGTTTGTGTCGATGTTCCAATCCGACCGACTAGAGTTTTTTTTTCCTTTGGTTGAGTTTGTTTTCCGGCTTAGTTGTTGGTCGCTGTTGTATCGGTGTGTGCCCATTTTGGGCTTATCTTCTTTTTAATATAATCGGCAGCTCTCCTGCCTGATTCGTTTTAAAAAAATAATGTGCAAGTTTGGACTAAAATTATGAAGAACATGTCAGCCAAGCATGGAAGTAGATTTATTTCTCTTACCATGTTTCAGGAGAAAAATAAGAAATAGCGATGATGTTTTGAAGCTTTGGTAAAATTGGCCGTTTCGAAAGGTTCTGTTGAACTTAACTTATTGAGATAATTAAGATAAATTGTGCTATAGAATCTCAATGGTGGTGATGTGGCCTCCACAGCATCATTCTAGTTACGTATTTGTGTTTTCTGTTCCAAGGATATCAGTATTTGACAGCATTTGTTTAACTGTCATGTCACTCTAGTGGCATCTCTGATTTTGCTTGTTTGGACCAAATAGTGAAGGGATTGGGCAAGTGGGTAGTATTCATTGGAAAGATAAACAGGATTAGCACAATACTTTTATAAACATTGCATTTTGTTAAGGCTTCGATTGTAGAATTTAGTGCTGTAACCAACATTAGAGAAACATTATTTGTTGAGGATTGAACTGGCATTGTAGTTATAATCAGCACAGTTCTCACAGGTGATTCTTAAGAACCATACTTTTTGTGCCGTAGGATGCATACATGATTTTCATGTGTCCATGCATGTGTGTGCATGTTGGGGGATATTCTCTTACCTTTTTGAATTTTTATATTCAGAAGGATAACATTGTGGCTTCCAACTCTCTTATTTGGCCTGGTTAACCCCAAAATAAAGATCAACAACAATAATTTTGAATGGAATATGAAATTGGTAATGTTTATTAAATTCTTTCGTTCTTCTGCATCAGTCATTCAGACTTTTGTATTGTCCTGATGTTTTGTGTTCGTGACTTGTGTTACTCTTCCTTTTCTTGAATATTAGTATCATTTAGGAAGGGGTCATATAGGTGCATCTATGAAAGCGAAGCTTTACCATCTCTTGGAACAAAGATCAGATTCATGGTATTTTTCTTTAACTTTGAGTTACTGGTTGCAGAGTTTGCAGTACCATGATTGTGAATTTTCTAATCTAATTTTGTTTGTATTTTAGCCGTCACTTTGTTATTCCTTTGTGGAAGGGAAGTGGATACACCACTATGTTCATGCAAGGTACTGCTCAGTTCTTTGCTAAATATTCATAATTTTGATTGATCGTTCTTGTTTTCTTATTTTCCCCACTGAATATAGCACTAGCATTCTAGCTACCTTTGTTCATCCTTAAATCGTTTCCCTTTATTGTGGAACTGCCTACTGTTCTGTTACACGTTTTGTTTACTTTGTTTAAATGGACCCTTAAAAAACAGCCTTGTAATACAAAGTGTAGAACTAGGAAGCTGAATACCGATATGATATTGACATCAGCATTATTGTTTTTTCTGTGCTTATTTATGCTTTACCCATCATCGTCCTTCATGTATCGCACCAAATTTGATGCACAAATCTGTGGTCAGTTATAACTAAATAACACAAGTTGCATGATTCGTGCATCTAGATCTGACCATTTAACCTAAATGTTCATGGTATTAATATTTTCTCAAGGTATAGCAATGAGGGATTAGTCTGTCCTCTTATAATTTTTGAAGTGGCACTTTTGGACAGGAGGAAAAAGGCATTAACTATGTAAACCTTTCCACTCAAGAAATAAACAATTTAATACCAAATGGCCTGTTTGGGAAGCATATAGTGGTAAGTTTGCATGACACGCAAAAACCATTGGCACCACTTACTATTTTTGAGCTCATTGTAGTAGCTGGCCTAATTTATTTAACCACGAGTTTGTTAGAATTCACACTGTTCTCTTTTGAATTTTTTGGACTTACTGTTTCATTTTGCTATACAATGCCCCAGTCCAGATGCCATACATGATCTTCACAGGACTCGAAGACTATAAAGCACGAGGCACTCAAGCAAGTCCTTACTACACAGTCACTCATTACACAGAGTTTGCAGAGACCAAGGACACGGTGCTTATTCGAGGAGATATTGTTTTCACCAGCAAACTTACTGATTCAGAGGCAAAGACTCTTCTAGAGACTGCTCACTCGTTCTACCTGAATGATACGAGGTACAGACTAGTGGAGCGCTTCAACAAAGAGACTCATGATTTTGAGTTTGGGGACGTCCTTCAAGTGCTTGACATGCCAACCATGTGACATAGTTTAGTTCCCAACCAATAGCAAATATTACTAGAGCACATTTATTTTCTGTCACCTCAAATCCTCAATTTAGCAAGGGAGATTGCTTTCTTGCATCATCAGAGGCAGTAAGATGGAGGCACTGGATATTATCCTGCCTTCGCTCACCGAGCATGCTGTGTGGATTTTTGTTGCACTGATTACGCCATTAGAAAATTTTGCTGATTGCTGTAAGCAGATGAGGATTTTCAGGGCTGGGGCACATTCGCTATATATTTTCTGTTGTATTGTTGTACACATTAGATCCAATAATAATATTTTTACCATCTTGATGTATTTCCCTTTAATAACTTTGCGGAAATTAGCAGATACCTTTGGTGCTTCGGAGTTGATTTAGCTTTTGTTGATCGGAAAGAGTTATTGCTGTTCTGACTTCAGGTTTTGTGACATGGCGCGAAATGCAGTTAGGATGGATTTTCTGGTGGGTGGTGGCCCTAAGAGCATCTCCAAGCGTCTCTTTTAAACTCACTATGTAAATTATTATTTAGAGTCATTTAAATAAAATTGTTCTCTATTCGCAAAAAAATAAAATAAAATTGTTCTCAATATCTTTTATCCTCCAACGCGTTAAGTTCTATATATCTTAGTGCACACTTTGGAGAGTTAATCGTGCTCTCCAGAATAGATGATGTTTATATTTAGGGATCTAATTTAAGATGCTGTTGGAGGATATTTTCTTTCACCAAAATTTTTAATCCTATAAATAGACTCTTGGAGAGAAACTGTGGGTGAAAGTAGCCGAACTGATTAGCGGAGATGCGACGGAAAGAGTCAGCCTAACGAGACTTTCTGCCACATGTGGCATTTATAATTGATCATAACTCTTACCTGAGACTAAACTTTATTTGATCCTTGGCTAGAAGTTCATTCTTGCATGCTCTTTTGTTTAGTTAAATCATGTAACATGAGTGTATCAAAATAAATATTAAAATATTGATTATTTTATGATATTATGTATCATAACATTTAATTTATCTTATCAAGTCTTAAATTGTTTAAAATCACTTAATATTCATAATTATGTGCTAATGACATCATTAACAGTACTAATACCCGCTAATTCTCGCACGGGCAAGCCTGGCTCACCGGATAAGACCGTTCCCTGTGTTTCCCTTGGGCCTGGCTCGAGGAGCCCTTTTGCATGCACGCGGCCTGTCTCGGCGACACGGCTAGGCATCCAAAAACACATGGTTCCTGCACGCGACGGGCTTGGCTAGAGACGATATGGGCAACCAAGTATGCCCTGGATGTTTACCCGTGACCAAAGTTTTGGGTCGGGTCAGTTTAGTTCTCAAAACAATTTAAATTAGCCCAGTTTACCCCTTAGGGCTAATTTGGAAGGAAGGGAAGCCACAACTAGGGATGAAAAACCCCTCCACGATGAACTAAATAATTATTTCAAATTATTTTCCATGGATTCCCCACCCTGAAAAAGTTAGGGATCCCAAAGGATTTGAGTTTCTAAATTAGCTCAATGTAATTTGAATTTCCCACTTTATGGCTTCCTGCGCCCACCTGTTAAATGCCAATTATTAGCTGGCAAAGAAAAACTTGTCTCTCAATCGTTCTGTTAATCCTTTAGTAGGCTGCAGGTTCGGCGGCCTTGTGTGTGAGGCTGTGAGCACCGTCACCTAAAAGTCCCTAGAATCACATGGGAGTCACCTACGAATCGCAAAAGAGGAAAACATAAAATCAGCTCCACTCCTGCCTGCGTGTTGCATCGAGTAACCACAGATCCAAAAACATATGCAAACTGCTCTCACATGCACCTTTGTCTCATGGGTGTGGCTTTGCAGCGAGCGTCGGAAGTATGTACGTGTTCGCCGGAATCCGGCTGGAAAAGGCGAAGTTTTAACCAGGGCCAGGGGCGAATGCGTAGAGGAGGCGAGGAGCCTCAAGAGGCTATAAAACCCTGCCTCCTAGTCACCCGTTTCATTCGAGTGCTCTGCCGCCGGCCTGCTGCTGTATGCGGAGCTAGCTAGCTGCCGAGATCTTTTCATCATCTCCTTTTGCCAGTAGCTATAGCTTTGCCTGCCACTTTGCACGTTGTGGCCGGCGCCTGTGCTTCCATCCATTGGTCGGCAGCAAGCTAGCTAGCGTCCGTCGATTGATCATGGCGTCTGCTCTGATGCTGACCCTGCTGCTCTGCGCGTCGTCGTGGGTGGTCGCGGCGGCGGCGCAGAACTACAGTGCCATCTTCAACTTCGGCGACTCCATCACGGACACGGGCAACCTGTGCACCAACGGCAGGCCGTCGCAGATCACGTTCACGCAGCCGCCCTACGGCGAGACCTACTTCGGCACGCCGACGTGCCGCTGCTCCGACGGCCGCGTCGTCGTCGACTTCCTGAGTGCGTTTCAAATTCAAATCCAACCGCCCTAACGACATTCAATTCATCGATCGAGACGTGCTGTAATTGCGCTCCGTGCTGACGAATCCATGAATGGCATTGCACAGGCACCCAGTTCGGGCTGCCGTTCCTGCCGCCGTCCAAGTCGAGCAGCGAGGACTTCAAGCAGGGCGCCAACATGGCGATCACGGGCGCGACGGCCATGGACGCCCCCTTCTTCCGCTCGCTCGGGCTCTCCGACAAGATCTGGAACAACGGGCCCATCAGCTTCCAGCTCCAGTGGTTCCAGCAGATCGCCACCGCCGTCGACTGCGGACAAAGTAAGATGCTCCTACTGTACGTATGATGATCATCTCCTGCTACTTATTATTATACTATAAACTCGATCAATGCAATTCGCTGCGCCCTGATGGATATGCCGTGTACGGCGGCCGGCGGGCAGGCTGTAAGAGCTACCTGGCCAACTCCCTCTTCGTGTTCGGCGAGTTCGGCGGCAACGACTACAACGCCATGATCTTCGGTGGCTACTCCATCGAGCAGGCCAGGAAATACACCCCCAAGATCGTCAACACCATCTCCAGGGGCATTGATGTACGTGTAGAGCACAAACTCTCTGTCTTCTCTGTTAGTTGACGAAACTGATCGGCATTTGAGCTGTGATGCAGAAACTGATCGGGATGGGCGCGACGGACATCGTCGTCCCCGGGGTGCTGCCCATCGGGTGCTTCCCCATCTACCTCACCATCTACCAGAGCTCCAACAGCAGCGACTACGACGACCTCGGCTGCCTCAGCAGCTTCAACGACCTGTCCACGTACCACAACACGCTGCTGCAGAAGAGGGTGGGCATCATCCAGAGCAGGCACAGGAAGACGGCGCGGATCATGTACGCCGACTTCTACTCCGCCGTCTACGACATGGTCCGGAACCCACAGACCTACGGTACGTACGTACGATCGAGTAGTAGCACTCTAGCCTCTAGCTACCCACTGCTTGCATTGCTGTCGTCGTATCGTATGGGCCCCTCCTCGCACAGAGACAGAGCCTTTTTCTTCTTTTCAACGCGCCATTGGCAAAGTGGAAAGCACTACACTCCACAAGCAGCGTGGTAGTAGGTTTATAATGGATTTTGTCGTCTGTGCCCAAATAAAACAGCGTGCACTCGAACACATACCACGTGCAGCAGCGAGCAGCACATGCATGTGTCCGTGCATGTGCACCGATCGAGCTGAGATTCCTCAACCAGTCAGCTGATGTGGTGCTACAGTCAGCTCTGTACCTCAATGACACTGTAGTGTGAGACCCATGCCGGCCTGCCCGTTTCATTACGCGGAAACGTCAACATGTCGTGCGGCGGTCCGGACGCGCGGTTCATAGAAAAATGAGTGGCCCAGTCTGGCATGCTGCGTGGTGCGTGCATGGTCGTCGTCGTCGTCGTCGTCGTTTCGCACTCGTGACGACCCGGTGAGCACTGAGCAGGGAGGCCGGTGCCAGTGTCAAGCGTTTCCCATCAATCCTCGCGAAAGCCAGCTGCCATGTTACTTGTTACCGTCCGCCACAACCAGCACATGCCCGCGACAACGCGCACCAGTCGATCGCCCGTGCTGCCCCGATCCCTCTCCTTCGTTGCATGGCTCCTCCGCGTCATTCGTGGCGTTTTAAAATTTGATTTTTAGGAAACAAATATTTTTGGAGAAAGGTTACTGCTGCATGTCTCACTTCTCACTCCATTCTTTGTCTTGACGGGTGTGGCAGGGTTCAGCTCGGTGTTCGAGACGTGCTGTGGATCAGGCGGCGGCAAGTACAACTACCAGAACAGCGCGCGGTGCGGCATGTCGGGCGCCTCCGCGTGCGCCAACCCGGCGGCGCACCTCAGCTGGGACGGCATCCACCTCACCGAGGCCGCGTACAAGCAGATCGCCGACGGCTGGCTCAAGGGGCCTTACTGCCGCCCGCCCATCCTGCACAGCTAATTCATGGATGGTTTGCATGATGGAGCATGGAGGCAGCGCGTTATTTTTTATAATAATTTATTTATTTATATCCATATAAAGCTTTGGTTGGATTAATCGCGGCGGGGGTTAATTATTATTGCATTGGTTGGTCCTTCGTTCGCCATTTTTTTGTGTTTGGAGGCCGGGGGTGTTTATACTTCATTAATTGCGTTGCTTAAGGAAACAATTAATGGCAATTGTGAAATATATATATGATGGCATATCATGTCCTGTTCCTTTGCATATAAGCAGTATTTTTTCAGTCAACGAACAGTATTTTTCTCTCACAACAAATCAGCCAACAGTACTTTCAGCCATGTCTTATCAGCCAAGCGAACAGGGCACATGTTCACTTATAATCCTTCAAAATGTTTTAAATAACGAGTTATGATATTTAGCGACCGCAAGATGCACATGTAGCCCGTTGGCCTAGCTTGAAGCTTGCCTTTTTGGCCTAGCCTAGCCTAGCCCGATGGAGCAGGCCATGCTTGGTTCACTCCCTGGGCCTGTCGGGCGGCATGGCCTGGCCCACTATCTAATGGGAGGCATGACTGCACCTAACCCTAATTCATTCATCCCCCTCCCTTGGGCGTCGCCCTCGCTCTCGCTCTCTCCTCTCTGGCCTCGCGCCTTATCATGTCTTTATACAGTGAACCACATTGAACATCTACCTGGACTCAACATTTCATCCACACCACCATGTCTTCGTTTCAACATAACAATGCATTTTTTGTTAGGGGCGGTTTGATTCCTTTCATTTTGGAGGAATTAGAATCTACTTAATGGATTAGGCTATTTCTCTTGGAATTTGAGATTTCGCAACTTTCTAAAGTTCACATATAAGTCTATCTCAAATTCATAGGGTGGGAGATGGAAATTGATTCTATAGATCACCATGCCATGTTTCTACTCTTCAACTTATAGCACGCTCTTCAACTCGTTTTCCTGATACAAATGCAACATATAAGTATCTACCTTGTATGGCTAACAGTAGTATACAAATATATTTCATATACAACCATATTAGCTTAACTAAAGTATGCCTAAATTATAATCTATTAGAATGAATTCAATTCCAAAAGATCTAAACAAGCTTTATTGTAATTTCTTTTTGGTGTATTTTATGTTCAAGGTTGGTACCGCTCACGGGTAAAGTACTCTCAAGATTAGTGGGTCTGTTTTAGAATACCGTAACCAACAGTCCATCCCCTTTGTCTACGTATATCAAAAGTCCGGCGCCCACCGTGCTAGTTGTTCTAATCGGCTGATAGTTCGTTGTATCGTAGGCTTTCAAATACTCCCTCCGTCCTCCGTTCTAAAATAGATGTCATTTTTGTTCATGAGAAATCAAATATTTTTAACTTTGACTAAATATAAAAAATATTAATATTTATAATATATAATTAGTATCATTAGATAGATCATTAAATATACTTTCATAATAAATCTAACTGAAGATATAAATGTTGCACGTATTTTCTACAAAATTAGTTAAAGTCGAGAAAATTTAACATGCGCACATCCGTAAAGTTCGTGGTGAAACATATATATGCTGCTACCAAGTGTTTTCGGTCTTGGTTGACGCTAAATTAGGTCACACATTTGATAAGGAGCTAGATCGCTTGATATAGGGCCTAACCGATTTAGGAATCGGCCGGCGCCTAGGGAGTGTCTACACCTGGACCTTGTGCTTCCAGCAATGAGCACGATACGCAAGACATGTCGTCGGAGGAGCCTCGCCGAGAGCGCGATACGCAAGACACGCCGACGAAGTCTCTTGAGACCCGAAACCCCACATGCCTGGAGAGACCCCGTCAGGCCGTGCAATGGTTATGGGTTGCTCTAGCCGGCCTGGCCACTCTAGAGCTTCACCGTCGTTGATCCACCTTCCATGCAGCGCCGACGAAGAATGAGGAGAAGTAGAGAGGAAGATAGGGTAAAACAGAGATAGTAGATTGGTTTTTTTGTACAATTGTGTGTGTTGATCTTATCCCTCAAGGAATCGAAACCCCTTCCAAATCACATCAAAACGCATTTAGATCCGTTCTAGATCTGATAAAGTCGGCTAAGCCGACTTCCACGGGCCCAAAGTGCTGTTTTCGGGCTAAAAACAGGGGGAGTCGGCTTAGGTGACTTGGTGACTCAGCTAAGCCGACTGGCACATGAAAATTCCGGGTGAAAGTCTTCCAAAATTCGTAATTAATTCATCTGGACTCCAAATCGAGCGAACCATATATGTTTTTCGATCAGCTCGATGAGAGAAACGCAATAGTAAAGTCCGTTCTTGCATTTGAGAAAGTTAGTCAAGTCGGCTTAGCCGACTTCAAGAGTTGGCTAAACCGACTCTAGCTGGATCAGGCCCCAAAAAAGCCATTTCCTTCGCCAGGGCTCCAAATGCGATGATCCAAGTATCATTTCTAGCAATCTTGATGATAGAAACATGATGGAGGAGTTCATTATGCACTTTGGACACTTTTGGGTGTCAACATATGCCCCCCTATTTTTAGTAAAGCTTGCGTACTAAAAACACCTTCGTCGGGCTCAGACTCAATTTCAGCTTTAAGGTGACAAAATCTGTTTTCTACCTTCACTGATATCTTCTGTTTGTTGTCTTGAACTTTTCAAAGCGATGTCCTCGACTATTTTCATCAAATTCTTGCATATGCACCAAGCGATCAATTGTCACCATCCATAATCTTTCTCGATCTTAATTCTGAAATTGGGTTTCGTGCAGCCAACATCTAGCCTCTGTGTTCTTCCAAAGCAGAATATAATTAATGAATTCGGTCCCCCAACAAGTTCGAATCATGATGTTGCTTAAATAGATTAAATGGTTGAACTCCCAAACACCATAACTTGATAATAGGATGTGTTAAAGTGACAAGCTTCAAGTGGGCATCAACATCCTAAATTCAAGCATATCAATGGCAAGCATTCACCAGAAAGTCAATTAAATCATCATTGATTATAATACTGTTGCATGCCAATTACCAAAAACTTTTATCAACTTTAGCACTTGGATTACTTAATTAATCCATAATGGGAGTTCTTCAAGCATCCAAATCGGCTCAACATCGCTAGAGTTCAAAACGAGCGGATTTGGGACCCCACTGGGCAAACTAGCCTGGCTGGCCCTGGTTGTTGGCTTGGCCGACCCTGCAACTCGGCTAGGCTGACTCTGGGAGTCGGCTAAGCCGATTCTGTTGCTCCTGCATACAAAACAAATGAATTTTCTTGCAACGGTTTTTCTTTGATGTGAAATTGACGTCCACCGACGCCAAAGCTAGATGCTTGTTGAGTTAACATGTTGGCCTTCAAATTCTCATGTCTTGAAATATGCCAAATTCAAAATTTAGCAAATGTATTAATAATGTTAAGGCACATATCAAGATGCATATCAAATAGTGACCCCTTTTAATCATTAAAACTTGCTAGCCACTTGCTATACTACCAGCAAGGAATCACCAAAGGCCTTAACATGTTTCACCTCAATGGAATGCAATATTTTCAAGCCGAATAAAAGAACTTCACATTCGGCTTGAATGTTGGTGCAAATGTAATTTTAATCGGCTTGATGTCTGAAACAGCACCATTGTGAGAAATAATGACTACGCCAACACCTTGGCCTTTTTTGTAAGCCGATTAATTGAAATAAAGCCTCCATTGGGTAGAAAATAGGTAATTGATCTCATCTCCTAAATCAATTACATGCTCAACAATCAAATTGACGAGAATTTGACCTTTCAAACCACTCAATGGTTCAAGAGCCAAATCACAGTCAATTAATGCATATGCCCATTCACCAATCCTTCTACTAAGGATCGGCCGATGTAACATGTGCTTAGTAACATCGGCCTGGCAAGCCATCACGCATATACTAGATCAATTAATGTTTCAATTTAGCACATGCATAGTATAGCACTAAGCATAATTTAAAGCATGGGCATACCTTGTCTTAAGATTAAGAAGACATCAACCAACATAGATAATAACACATCCTTTCCTTTTGTCTTCTTGAGTCAACACAACACTGATACACCCTCTTCAGCGATAATATATAATGTGAATGGAGCTCCACTCCTAGATGCATGAAGAACCCTAGCGTTGATAGAGAATTCTTGAGAAGCATGATTAACTTAATTTCTAATCGACTTTTAAATTTTGTCCTGCATATGTCGGTCGTGGTCTAATGCCAAACCCAACGCCAATTTGCTCACATGGGTTAGCCGACGCAATCCTCTGTCCAAACAAAATTTACACTACATGATGATATGGAGCCGATCATCAACCAACTCTAGAGAAATAGGAACAAAGCCTCCTCTAGTGACTCAAAACCAGCAAGGTCTCTCCCTGACAAGCAAACCATATCATCATGCCCCCAAGCAAAGGAGCATAGGCCGATGAGTCTACATGGAAGATCTCAACTTCATTATCCACCCACTGAATGAGGAACTGGTGCAAGCTAGAAGGCACACATCAATTGCCATGAATCCATTCGCGCCCAAGAATCAAACTGTAGCTCTATGCTTGCACCTCTACAACGAAGAAGGCGGTGGCCAATGTTTTGCTCCCGATAGTAAGCTTCATCAAGGCAAATCCCTTGGCTAAAATAGAATTTCCTCCAACACCTTTGACTGTCCTCTTGGTCTTAATCAGCTCCTCATCAGATCGGCCAAGCTTCTTATAAAGTGAATATGGCATTAGATTTACCATGGCTCCGTTATCCACCAACATATTGTTGACCAGTTTGCCATTAATGAAGCCCTTCACATGTAGTGGCTTGAGGTGATTCACGTTGTCTGTTGGCTTCTGGAAAATAGCTTGACCTCCATAAAGCTCCTCAACACCAGCAAGGACCAGATCAACAACAGCGGGAGCCAAATCAACTAGAGATACCCCGGAGGCACCTAGGCTTGAGAAAGTTAGCTCAGCCGACTCTAGAGTCGGCTTAGCCGACTAGGAGTCGGCTAGGCAGCAAG